TTGGGACCATTTTTCCAGATCACCACATGGTTCTTCCTCTGCCTCAGTATCCAAAATCTTATTGCAAGGAGAATCAGTTGGCACCGAAGAAGCATTGTGTGAAACTTGGGCTTGAATCTTCTTTTCCCGGTTCCTTTCTCTTATCATATTATTTTCCTTATTTTTCTCATATAAGAAATCGTTAATCTCTTTTTCTTCCAATAATTTAGGTTCCATATAGGTAGGTTGACATGCATCAGATGTATTTTCTACTTTTTCAGGATTATTGTCAGAATTTATTTTGGGAGAAATAGCACTTTGTGCCTGCTCAAGGTTTACAGAATTGGTACTATTATCTTCATCAGAGTGAGTATTAATAGGTGATGGAATAGGCATTTGTGAAATTACTGATAATGCCGGGGAAACTGGAGACTGTGAAGCATTGTTAGTGGTTCGATTTTGTTTTATGATTTGTTTTAATTTTGTATTTTCGATCCTAAGATTAGCAATTTCTTCTATGATCTGTTTTAATTTGGTATTTTCAGCCTCAAGCTTGGCAACTCGCTGTTTTAATAATTCAAGCTCTGATGACATGTTTGATAATAATTTTTTTATACAAGTCAGATTTATTTAAATTATCGAGTTGAAAAAATTACGTGCGCGTGAAGATTCTTCACGCCGATAACTTTCGCCAAGAAAGATTCACAATTATATACAAGTTATACATCGATATTTAATACAATAAAATAAAATCCCGAAATATACATGCAAATTATATATGTGAGAAATCGGCCACCAGAGCCACTTTATTGATGCATCAGAAAAATAAAATATATTAGGGAAGGATTTGCTCATCTATTATCTCGTAGAATTTACCAGTGACATCTCGAGATCTGGCACTCATCCGGACATTTGTAAAGTCTTTGTCGTGCCAGAAATGTATAACATTAAGCCCTCTCTCCTGTTGTTTACTACAGGGCCAATATGGATTTTTGACAACGTCGTCCTCCCGAGAAAAATGGATAACCCAAACTTCTGTAGGTTTTAGTAGATCGGCATAATTAAAAACCCGTTTGAAATGCTCATTCAATTCCGGTATGGATGTTGTTGCCAATAATTCAAGAACTGCTACAGGAGAGGGGTCATCTCTTTTTTTAATAGTAAGGTCGCAATAAAGGTGATGATAACCACCGTCTTCACAAACTTTTTTGAGATGCCATTGTCCGATGATATCAAAACTATGTACCTTTGCCAGCCAATTATGCAGGATTCGATACATCTCTGCATCATAAATGCTCTCTCTGGGAACATGTACATTGTACTTGGAATCTACTTGCAAATGATTAGAACTTTTGTAAGAGCAGGAAGATCCTTGTGCAATAGTGCTCTTATCAAAAGTTCGGACAACAGACTTCACCACCTCAAGAACATGTATTGAATCATTGACTTGCAAAGGTATATCATCATTAGGAAAAAAGAAATTCATTTTCGGAATTACACATTGTTTTTTCTCTAGTAAAGAATCTGTTATGTCTTCAGTATTTCGTCTCTTTCCTAATGATGATGACGACGGTGATGGTAGTGCTGATGATGTTTTTTTTACCTTATTCCATAAGCTATTTACTTTCTTATTATCGGCTTTTACGAAAATAAAACAAAATAAGAAAATATTTTCACAATAAGCATAATCAGACAAAATGGGATAAAGATGGACAAATGCAGAAATATACCAACAGTTAAATTTTTTATTACATGGGCTAGGTGTTGAGAAAAGAAACAAAATTGAGAAAAGGAACAAAATTGAGAAAAGGAACGAAATTGAGAAAAGGAACGAAATTGAGAAAAGGAACGAAATTGAGAAAAGGAACGAAATT